AAACAATTAGAGATCATTCCAGCCAGCCCAAAACAGCCGATGTCCATTCAAATTGAGGCACACAAACTACCAGAACCACCCTAGATGAAATTGGGTATCGAAGTGAACAGGCCACATCAGCAACCAGGCATATCACTGGTCAAGGAGATTCAGCCTAAATCACAGGAAGTGATACCAGCACCGAAGAATCTACGACAAGAGGCGGAAGATACTAAGTCAACATATCAAGTTAACCGAGAAACTCGGGCAGGATGAAAAGACAGAATAGATTCTACGGTAGCCCACTACGCCATGCAACTAACGCAGTCGAGGAGGCAGGGATGAGTGCTGCGAGGACGCCAGCTATACCGCAGTCAGAGGAGCTGTATGCAGCTTTAAGAGCGATGTCAATTTCATTAGGCAGTTTCTCCTCATCTGAGGAAGAACAATCAGTAATCGGAAGGAAAATAAGTGGTAGAAAACTACGTGAATCGGTACTGAAACCAAAAATGTTTCATAAAAAGAAATGAACCAAAACTGATATTGAGTGTTTAAAATTTTCAATTGTTATTAAAAATTTTTCCTTTTGGCGGAATGTGATACGGCATTGTTCTCTTATTCAAGGCCAATCTAAGATATAGCGACATAGATTATTTAACCAACAACCTTCAACAACTTGTCAACACTTTTGGCGCTAAAGCTAAATTAACGTGCACTGTCTCATAGCTTTATCATGTTGAAAGATTTCAGTTGATTCAATTTGTATTTACTGTATTCATATGTAAGCAAGTGTTATCCCAAAGTAATTAGGCATCTTTTTGATCTACTTTACACAGTTTTAGTATTTTTAGTTTGACTTTACCTAGCAGAAGTTACGGATATCTCAGAAGTATAGGAAAAAAATGGTCGGTCTGCGTTATTCAATGCTTTAAAAAAAAACTCGAACTAAAACTATAAAAAACTTTGTCAAAATTTCTGGAATTTTTCAAGTTTCTCAGATGAGCATTTGTATAACCGTTGAAAGATTTCAGTTGATTCAATTTGTATTTATCTGTTTTCATATGTAAGCAAGTGTTATCCCAAATTAATTAGGCATCTTTTTAAACTCGTTTACATAGTTTTAGTATTTTTAGTTTGACTTTACCTAGCAGAAGTTGCAGATATCTCAGACGTATAGGAAAAAAAATGGTCGGTCTGCGTCATTCAAGGCTTAAAAAAAACTCGAATTAAAACTAAAAAAAAACTTTGTAAAAATTTCTGGAATTTTTTTTAGATGAGCATTTGTATAACCGTAGGACTAAGTTTTTTGGTAAAGGTCTTGTATAGGGAAATTATCAACCGTATTGCAAAATGTCGGGCAGAAACGTCGTACCTAACTGATAAAACTGGTTTCGAATTGGTTTTTCATTGAAAGAAGCAAATCGGAACTTTTTTCATTGGTTACGACGCTGAAAAAGGTATAAAATTACTCGTATGGTTTTGGTGCTGTCCACAAAGTATCGTCGCATAACAAGGTATTTTTGACTTTTGAAGCTTCGGCAAAAAATTTAAGGTGCAAAAACTCTATCACCCCTTCAATTGTTTCAATCAACCAAAAACTAATCGCCACGCTTGGTTTTTTTGCCAGGTCGGGGCAGAAGGACTAAGTTGGGGTCCGGTGCTATGAGTTATAATAGATTATTGCGGTAACGATTCAGGGAGCAACAAATTTCATGATATTCGGAGGGTGGGTGCAAAAAAAAATTTCCTGTGAGCTTTCAATTAGTCGTTGTGGATTTTTTTCGTTGTTTTTACTGAGATTTTTTGTAGTTTTGCAAATAAATGATGCCGAAAAGTTTTTCCGCCAAAATTTTTGAAATATCGATCATGATTATGCGCTGTGCTATGGCTATTTAGCCTATTTCTTTCAAAATCAGTTGTAATACGTCTTTTGCTATTTGGCTCACAACATGAATATATAGAATTTTTGCCATTCCAAGTGTGCCTGAAAATGTATCCGCCTAATACTAGTTTTGTTTGCCCTCGTATCGTTGAAGGAAAGATTCGAAACGGCCTTATTTAAAATAATTGAGAATTTGTTGTTGCTTTCAGTTTTTAGCTTGCTTTCTCTTTGTTTGCTGTAATCTGATTAAATGAAAAATTTTGAAATTGTTCTAAGCGGTGAAATGAATTCAATTCAGTTTGAATTCTAATTGCGCTAATCGCTCTAAGCGGCACGCATGCAAGTAGGCCAGTTCCCAGAAGTTTCTTCTGGTCAATTTTGTCAGAGTCAGAAATTCTATTACAGTTTGAAGGATGTTTGATGCTTTCACTACCAAAAAGTACTTGGTGCTTTCAGTCCGAAAAAGTTTTTGTTCCGACTTTCGTAAGGAAAGTAACGGAACATTTGTGCTCGGGGTGGGTTTTTTTTCTTCAGACAAATTTCGACTTTTTCACTAGCCATTTTTGACGGAATTTTTTAATATCATTAAAAAGCTATTGTTGTCCTGAGCTTAAATTTGAAAAAAATATATTTTACCTGTGATCATTTTTCGTAAAGTTATGGGGGTTTAAAGATTGCCATTTTGGCCATTTTGGGACAATTAACGCGCGATATATTTCGCGCTATTAACGAGTAAGCGAGATTTAATCCGTCCTAGAAATCGTTCCAAATTGGTTCAAGGAAGCTTTTATATGCCACAATTGATTTGTTAATAGTAGCAAAATCTATCACTGTACTTAATATGACGTGCGGGGGGATGTTTTCACATTCTTTTTAATTTTTTTTGTTTTTTACATACATTCAGTTTTTTCTTGTTTTTACTGCTCCATAGACCTTAAAAGGCAGTCGGAACATTCAGGGCTTCGCCCTGGTACGAGCAGTCTTGTTGTTTTGATCTCAAAATAATAAAAAAAATTGCTCCTGTAAAATTCGAGGATCTAAGTTAAGAGGTTTTGAAAATTTAAGCCAAATTGGGATAACAAACAGGCATTTTATTTTGTTCTTTTAATACTTGAGAGGCGAGATAAAACAGCATACCAAAGTACACTGAGGCAAGTTATTTAGTCCAATTGAACCCCTTTCTTTCAAATAAAGAGGAACTTAGCACAGTGGTAAGGCGTTCACTTTGAAATCGTCAGATCGTGTATTCGATCCCATGCCATGGCAATGATAGTGTGTGAGGACAAGCTCTCACTTGACCTCCAGCTTCAGGTCTACCACAACCTGACCAAATTTGGCTGCAACAGTGGTACCACGTAAAAGTTCTAGACGCAAGAAAAACGGCCTTGAGCCGCAAAAAACAGCTTCGCTCAGCAAAATAACACTGTCTGGAATGTGGGCAGATAATACAAATGGACTATCCTCGACAGGACTGTTAATACCTACTGATAGCTCCTCTGCGATTCGCAGGAACTACAATTATTAAATAAAGGGGTATCTTAGAATACAATAAATAACTTTGTAATTTTTGGATTTTTTATATGAAAAATTCAACATTTATGAACATTTTTTTCTGTAAAACGTTTATTTTAGCACAAAAATGAGTTTGCAACTAAAACGAGCAATGAAACAATTGTCAACTAATTTTTTTTTTCCTAAAGAAGAATGGCATATCATACAATATCAATGCATGAAAAATGTCTGATATTCATTTTTTAAACATGCAGCAAAGACTACATGCAGCAAAGACTACAATATTTTTTCTATTTGAACTACAAATCATTTTAGCATAATTTCAGGAAAATAATTGCTTATTATACAATTAATTTTTATGGTAATCGTATGGGAACGGTAACATTTTGATCACCAAAATTTGATTGAAAAATCACCTTAATCATAAAAAAATTCGCATTTTCTTTGAAAGTCGGAGGAATAAAAATTAAAATTAAGCAGACAAAGCAATTTTTAGAAAAACAATTTAGCTCAACTACTCCAATTACGTTTAAATAATGCATGAAAAAAATTGAAATTATTTCTAAATCCTTAAAATCAATGGAAACATCGGAAAAATATAAGACTTTCCATTAAGTGTTTGCAGGTATGAATCCCCGTTAAAAAGAGATGAACTCAGTATTTGGATGTGCTGTAGTTGTTTTCCAGGCACAAATAGGTACCACATTTAATCATCCGAATGAACTCTGCATGTGATATATCAAAGAAAAGCACTTTTAGTAATTATTGGCATGTCAAAATTTTTTCTTAAATCGTCCATGTGTCGAGAAAAATTGAAATACATTTTTTGAGTTATAATTCAGTTTCGAGTGAGTGCAGCGATCGAGTGACGTCTGTTATATTCAAAAACTTAGCAAAACCTATGGAACATTTTTTTTCTGAAATTTATTTTTATATTATGTATGAAGACGAGTAGGGTCGATCATACCCTGTTCACTTATTTTCTACGTGTGTGTTTAGTTCTATCATCACCCTACACATGAAAAACGATAATTTCGAAAAAAAAAAACCCGTACCGAACGTTTCTCACAACTTCACGCCTGATCATACAATTGTCAGACACTAGCTGTTTTGCAGCTCAGTGCATATCTGTTTCACATGTGATCACTTATACCGTTTGCAGACTATATCTGATTCAGACATGACTATACTTGAAAAGACATGACTATACCTGGTCAAACATGACTCTGACTGGTCAGATATGACTATACCTGGTCAGAAATGAGTATACCTGAGTCAGACATGACGATACTTGGTCAGACATGACTATACCTGGTCAGATATGACTACACCTGCTTCAGGTCTGATCATGCAAAAAAATTTAGCGCCATGTAACGGCAGAAACGCAGATGGTTATAATGTAGTCCACTGTAGTTTTACGATAGATTTACAAGCCGGGAGGGTGTTTAGATAAGGCAAAGAATCATAACAACTGCGTATTTTTAGCTATTTACCTTGATCTTTTATGAATTGTTTCGGAAGCGACCTAGCTGCCAATCCAGTCGGACAGTTAAAAAGTTTTGTGGTCCGAGCTGTTGTTTCTTTGTTGTGCATGAGGCATGTAGGAAAAAGATCATTTGTTTCAGTTATAGCTTCTCGGCTTTTTGGCTAAAATCATTTGTAGAATCTGTTCTTATCAGCTTAATGTCAGGCATGCTGGGCATTGCCCGGCACCAATATTAAACTGATTGTTGCTTCTCGAGTTAACACCGAAGCTTGCTTCAGTTGACTCACGGGTTCTCCCGGTCTAACACTATCATCATGATGTCTGCTTCAGGTCTGGTCATGTAATTTCAGGCATGATTATGTCTGGTCCAGGTATGATCATGAAAAGTCAGGTATGATCATGTCTGCTTCAGGTCTAATCAAGTAATTTGAGACATGAACATGTCTGGTCCAGGTTTACTTCAAGTCTGATCATATCTGACCCTAGATCTGATTTTTTTCATACTTATCATGTCTGGTACATGTCTGTATCAGATATGTACAGGGAAAAAAGAGACATGCCACAGGACTGATACAGATCTGGATTTTGCATGTATTTTCGATATCAAGAATTCAATTCAGCTACAAATTTCAGTACGGGTAGCTTTTACGATTGTCGTTGTAACAATCTGTGCTACTTGGACACCAACCAATAATTAAATCAATAATAAACCATAATTTTTTCTGGATATTTTTTTACCGCAGTTCGAATCATAACCACAGAATTTCATTGTGATTTGTCATTTGAACCCGTAAGAGGATTATGCGTGAATACCAATTTAGAGTTAAAAAAAAGCATCCGAATATGTTTCAATCTTTTCCGAGATCACAATAACAAGCAAAAACCCAAAACCAAGATAACAATTAAGCGTAAAACAATAAACCAAAAAAAATGGGACTGGAAAGCAAGTTGCAGAGGCTTGGCAATAAAGACTGTTGCAAGAGTTGATCAGATTGCTCAGAAGCACACATATTGACCAGCAGTAATTCGAAAACCGGATTTTGATGCACAAATACGTGGAGATTCAGAAACTAGTGAATGATGTTCTTCGAGAGCGCGTCTAGTATTTCTGAACGTCAAAACAGACTATCCCAGGGGTGAAATACTGAAAGCCATAAAGTGACATCTGAATGCTCCTTTAGAGGTGCATTTTGCTGCCTCCCTATATTTACTAAAGAACGACCAACCATCCGCTCAAGCTGTGATGACACTCGATTAACCACCATTGGAGTCTAGTGTTCATGAACTCATGTAAGCCAATTTAGATAGTCGAGCGTCTTACACAAAAAGGTAGAGAGATTTTGAATTCTAATGAGTCGAAGTATCTTTTCCTTTTTTAACAGACAAACAAGGGCAAATTGTCGCGCAAAAAAAACCGGCGCTTCTTGTACGCGCTGGTTTTTGCTGTGTTAAGCATGCGCACGGTTGATGAATTGACTGAGAATAAAAAATAGAAGAATACAAAGTCTATGAGAAGTCTGAAAACGGAATGAGAAAACAGTTAGTTCCAGCACACAAACTCCAGTATCCAGTATTTTTTTTGGCGCTGTACTCAAGACCCCGGTAGTTCGTTATGCTAAAAAGCAAAGCACGCAGCGAAAATGAAAGTGACGAGACCAACGGAATTTTGGACACACTAATTTCATTTAAGGAAATTCATTTATCGTCGATTAAAGATTAGTAAAAAAAACTCGGCAGTGTTTCAGGATTTGACTTATCTTCTGACAATGAAGCCAACACTGGTATCCAGCAGACAGCGGCTTAAGGTGGTAAGAATCTACTGAGTAGGGATTTATATTTATCATTTTAAAAGCAGCGCAACAGAAGAGAAAATGCATGCAACGGGATTTAACGCAAGGCTCTGTTCGCCTCAAAACATTCTCCTAACCAATTGAGCCAAGAATCTATGCATAAAGATGTGAAACAGAGTTTGACGTACAATTCGTTCAAATAAAATTTAGGATTTTTGGAGACGAAAATGGTGACAACTCATTTGACTATTTTCACATTTTAAAATTTCACTTCGATGAAATTCATAGAGCAATCGCGAATTAAAAATTTATGTCAGTAAACACCACTATCAACTATTTAACTCAAAAGTCTCACGTAAAAGTTTCTAAAACTATTTTATCTTTTAGAACATGTTGATGGACATGACTGATGATCCCGAGTCAGATTTGACAACTCGCTCTCGCCCATTTTTCTTTTGGTCTCGCACTACCTCGACACTTGAAGATGAGGCCACGAATGACTTTTGGACCCTGGGAAAAACTCTTTCCTTCCTTTGCTTGTCTTTAAACTGTTTGCTGTCTCGGAAGTACTCGTCAGATAAACTGTCGATAGTTGAATTTGACACTCTTTCTCGTCGGTTCGACTCCGAAGTAGATTCTAGAATGACGACTTTTCTACGAGTAGAAATGCTCCTTGGCCGTCTTACTTGGTTGTGTTTCCTGTTTCGTCTGCTTCTTCGGATCTGTTTTATTTCACTGTCTGATCCATCTCTCGATTTGGAGTAAGATTTAGCCCCTGCATTTGCATTTGGTAGTAAGTGTTCATCATTTTCTGAATCATTGATCCCGATTGACTTCAAATAGAATGTGGGAAAATCTTCAAATAAGTACTTCACCATGATTTTTTCATCCACTTCTGGGTTCATTCTGCTAACCGATTTCACGAACTGATAAATTGCCATTTTTACAAAACTGGGGTTTGATTTTTCAGATGGCATTGTCAAAGCCCAATCTGCCATTTCCTGTTGGACCTGATCAAAGGTGAAGTCACCGTAATCAAGAATAGATGTCGCATTATCTTCATCTTGAAAGTCATCCACGACTTTTTCGCCACTTATTTTGGGAACTAATTTAGAATGTCTGGTTTGTCTTCGAGCTAAAAACCTGATTCCTTTCCGCTCCTTTTCATATTCTTTCCATGCTGCAATTTTGTCATCGTCATTCAAATTTTCGTCTTCTTTATGCTCAAGTAGGGAATCGTGCTCGTGATATCGGTAGAGATACTCTTTTCGGTTGAGCATGATCTCGGCTAACACTTGGTCTTTCGGTATACTGCAAACAGGGTTGCTTTTAGTCTTTCCTTTCTTGTAAACTACCGGCTCAAACTTGTATAAATCTTCTAACTCATCTCGATTGAAATGGCGATCAATTTGGTTCTCGTCTATAACACGCAGGCTAAGAGATTCTTTTGTTACTTGACGGTTGTACACTTTCTCTTCCATAGTTCCTTGTGCAATAAACCGATAGACGTAGACTGGCTTCACTTGGCCGAATCTGTAGCACCTGAACATTGACTGGATGTCATGACTGGGGTTCCAGGAGGCATCGAACAGTATGACCCGGTTGGCCGCCACCAAATTCACCCCCAGAGACCCAGCCCGAGTAGAGATGAGAAAGAGACGACATCGCTTGTTGTCGGCCGAGTTGAACTTGTCACACATCTCTTTGCGATAAGATGCAGACGAGGACCCGTCCAACCTAAGAAAAAAGGATTAGATAACTATCGAGGCTAAATGTATCACAGGCCACAACTGACCACAACGAAAAACTACCAGCGTTAACTTGAGTCATCAACCTTAGATAGTCTTTGCCGTACTCCCAGCTTCCGTTGCCTGTCTCCGTTCCCACAATGTTAAAAGTTCCGTCCTTTTTCCAGCCTTTGTCTCTTTTCTGAAATGGCAAATACATCCGATGTACTTCATTTAAGATATCGTCGAAAAAAATTACTATAATAGCGCTGTATATTTGCATATTTTTCAGCTACCAATATGTAAATCCAGCAAGGGTCATCCATCACTCACATGGCTTTTGTGAGAGGCTTTTGTAGACACAATCTCCAACACATCTTCAATCAAAGTCAGAGTTGCCAACGACTGGCTGAACAGGAGCACCTTCTCCTGCATAACACGTGCTCCTTTCAGCACATCAAGCAGTAGCACATACTTTCCACTTAGAAACAGATCACACTGGTCTTCAACAATGAGGATATTCGAGAACCAATTATCAACATCTGCATTAGTCTTCACGAGCTTTACAGGATTGTCTTTAGGATTTACATCATCTTTCCCTTCAAGTTTTGGAATTTTCAGTTCTTAAAAACAAATCAGCCAAAATTAGTTTACTTTGAAATGTTGGAAAATTAGATAGTTTTGTATCAACTTGAACCTTGAACACAGAGTACACTTGGAGATTCGTACCAATAGCAATTAAAACAAATATCTTTACGAGGCCAAACTGTGTATTTTCTGAGTTGTAGCGGATTCCGCAACAGGCTGAAAACAGATTTGTCGCGGAAATCGCAACACGCCTATTTTTCTTTGATTTTTTTGCTGTTTTGGATTCTACGGAAAATTAGCGACAACACTATATCGCTCAAAAGAGCTCCAAAAGCAGCCAAATTTGCGGAATCAAGAACAAAATTTACGGAATCCAGTACAGATTGCGGAATTCAAAAAGAATTATTTATTCATTAAATTACCGAAATTTTTTTTGCCAGTGAGATACGGACATCAAACGGTACCCCTCTCCAGTGCACATTTTGGCCTCTTAACGATAGTCGGGTGATATATTAAAATATGTGACAAACTCAAATTTAATAGCCGCATCACCCTTTCTTGAACTTCGAATAATATTTCAATTTAGTTCAATAAACAAATTGTTGGCAAAAAAAGCGTAAGTTCAAATTTTCGAATAAACTCGATATGGCAGAATATCGTAATTAGTAAAACTATCTTAGTAGCATGTACAATTGACTGAGAATGAAAATTAAATGAATATATCATGCCTTATAGTTCATACGTTTAATACATGCAATGCTTCAACATTTCGAAATTGCACTATATAATAAAATTGCTCCGATATCCTTTATTATCAAGGAAGCGCTAAACCAAGCTCTTACACCTAGTTTCCTTTTTCGTAAGATCAAGTTTTCTCAGCCTAAAAGAGAAATTTTTATATAAAGAAGGCTAGTCGATCGTTTTACTCGTTCAAAATCAAATGCTAGTCGATCAAATTACTCGTTTGAAACATTTAGATGTCGTTGGAATCGCGGCCAAAAGGGCTTCAAAATGATATATCACTCGAACCTTTCCAATTATTATGAGATTTACCTGATCTTGCATGAAAAACAAAAAAAAAGAAAAAACCTAAAAAAAACCCGAAGACTCAGTGGACGGAACAGATTAGACTAACCTTTTTTTAAAAAAAAAAATTAAAAAAATTAGCTAAATGTAATTTCAAATTGGTATTTCAAGTAAACAAAAAACTTCTAAAACATTTCTATGAAGCATTAAAAAAAGTTTCAAAAACTGGAGTAAAACTAGGTTTTTCATGGCTAAATTTAGACTAGAACATCTACTTTGTTAATGTATTTGCTCAAAATTAGGCTAAAAACTCAACATTTGTTAGTGTCGTTCGTGTAACGACTGAAAAAGCTTTCGTCTAACTATGTATAACTCGACCCGTTCTGATAATTATTTGTAACTATGATTTGTAAAAAGTGAAAAAGGAAGTTATTTCAGAATAAATGTGTAGCATATACTTGTATTTTTTTTGCAGAAAAACGTTTAAAAAAATTTTTAGAAAACTTTTATTGCCAAAAAAGCGCAAAATGAAGCTTCCACAACTAGTTTTACTTTAAATCGATAACGAGCGTTACTTGATCGCGCTACTCGCTCGAAATTAGAAAAATCTCGAAATATTTCAGACCAGTTTATCTCGACACTGGAATGAAATTTTTGAAACTTTTTCGAATCACGGCTGAAAAGGTTTCATTATTACATATCACTCTGCCCATTCCAAATATTAAATTTGCTACCTGATTGTGCGTAGAAAACAGAAAAGGGAAAACTAAAACACCCAAATACAAATTCCTCCCCATTTTTAATGGCCCGAATAACAAGTACAAATTACTGAAAAAAATTATTTTAGCCTAGTGGCAAAAACCATTGAGTCAAAATAGCTTGGCTCTAGCCAATTCGCAATAATTATTCAAGCGCTTTATAATTTGGAGCACCGCTCTAAAATATTTTGCGTTTACAAAAACGCATAAAATCGCACAGCATGTAATCCAGTTTATTGACAAATAACCAACCATCACATATTAATTAACAAAATTCGCTTGTTAATGTCTTTTTAAATTTGAGGTAGGGGCGTTGATTTCTTCAAACCTAGGCAACATCCAGTTGAAAAAGCGACAATGAAATCAACGAGGCGGAAAAAAAATTAAAAATTTTCAGCTTAGAGTTTCAAAAACATCAACCTCATCTTAAAAATCTTTGAATTTCAAGAATCTTTTCTGAGCTCTCCCAAATTACTATACTGAACCCATGTTGACCAAATTTTCTGCGCCGCAGGTAAATAAAAAAAACAGGACAAAACAGGGCCAAAGGCGCATATAGAAAAATTTCAGGATCCGTTAGCCGAAAAAGGATATCTCAAAATAGTACAAAGGGGGGACCCTTTGGGTCGGCAGGTGGTCGAATTCCTGAAGAAAGGAGCAATTCGCTCCCCTACCCCCAAATAAAAACCCGCTGATGGATCTACCCAAATGTTATTATAACAAATGTTAGTATAGTACAAATGCAAAAAATAGCACACAGTAACAACAAATACTCACCTTTAACCTCCTCATTGGTTTTGTCTCTCCTTTTCTTCTTCTTTTCATCTGGTCTTTCCTCCTCAGCTAAATCATTTTCCTCTCCCTCCTCTTCATTATACAAGGGATCGTCGAACAATAACAGCGCTGGGTGAGTCCAAATCTTTGCCAGGGCCTGGTAGTCGCGAAAAAGACTCCTTCGAGGCGCCTAAAATTGAGCCGCATATCCATTTATAGAGCAAAAACAGTGCATCGAAAACATGAGCAAAGATTAGATGTAATTGTTGAGAATAGCATTTCAATCGATGAAAAAAATCTAAGATCTCATAACTTACTTTCCTAAAACAATATCAAACATCAATGCTGATGCAAAACTTATTTCAATAACACCTTTTGATTGGAAAAAGTTAAAGGATCCGCTAAGTAACAAAGGATGCAATTATTTAGAGAAGCTATAACATGGTTTTGGAAAGCTCATATAATGATATCATTGATGATCTGAACATGTGACCAGAACATTCACACGTTGAAAAATTGCTTTTTTAAGACATGATTGCATACGAATGGCTCAAGACTCTGAAAAAGCTCAGTGCAATTGACAATTCTTGTACAATAAACTGAGTTTTGGTTTTCTAAAAACAGGATCAATTTATAAAACGGATACATATTTTCTTGTAAAAAAAACGTGTCATAAGAATTCCGAGTAGTTCAAATCTGTATATTTGCGAAGAATTGGAAAAACGGGTGCTGGCCCTGCGTTGATTTACAAATCGTCGTTTGAGACAACAGTAGATACACCTCAGCAAAATAAAGACTGCGAAATACTGGTCGTTACTATGGAACCAAACAGTTAAGTTTATAATAGTGTGTGTTAATACCACCAAGAAAATTTCAAACCTTTTACACTTTGCTGTATGATACTTTGCTGCCTTTATCTCTTGAAAACGAAAAGACTATACTTGACGAATACGACTATATTAGAGCAAAAAAAAATTCTATTGAAGAGTTCGGACTATAGCAATATGTTAAGGGCTAACTCATAAACAAACGAATACATTGGACCTGATAATCACACGAAGAGATTCAGAGGGCTTAGGAAATAAGACGACAGGCAAATTAGACGATCAAAAAAATAAAGAACTTAGATGATAACTGGTGTGCAAAAAATTTAACTTAGTTTAAATTTTGGCTGAGTAAACACTGGGTGTTTAACCTTAAATCACCTTATGAATGTCAATTGTATATTTTTTGTACTTCAAAAAGTTACTATAATTTTTCGATTTAAAGTTTTATTAGATGGATGGATGGCTGTTTGAATCTGAGAAGATTGAAACAATCTGAGCCCTCACGTGTGGATAGATATCTGCAACCCCTGAGAGAAACTTAACATCACATCGACATAGGGTCGAGAAATTAAAACAAAATCAAAACCAAATTTCTTTTAAAAATTTTTGTAACATGTCAAACAAAACTCCATGTCTGGAAAGCTAAGTCAGTTTGGGGAGATATACCTATGTATTTCATATCTGCAACTGCATCAACCCAAGCTCGAAAACTTCACACTTTGAAAAGTACTTTTTTTGTAAGTTGAATTTTTTGAAACTTGTGAGAAATCATAAAAACGGCATACCTCGAAAACAAAAAAAAATCGAGCAGTCATAATTGAAAACAAACTACATGGAGTTACACTACACTACACAGCGCTCCCTCATTTTCCCTAAACTTCTATGCTGGCAACAGTTAGAACGCTAATTGCGTGCCTTTCAATTGGCCGAGCATTCCTAGGCTTAAAAATCGAAGAACTCGAAGAAATCAAAGAAAACCTCTTGAAGAAGAAACACATTGGATGGGCCTATATCACAAACTGTTAAAATTTGCTCCATGCTATGTGAACGGCAGAAAGCAAAAGCCAAAATTAGCTGTATAATTTCGGAATTTCGTTTAATAAACCATGAAATTCTACAATGTTCTCTTATGAAGCCAATTCTATTTTCAGCTCACATTTCACTTTTATGATAAATTTCATAAACTTCCAGGAAATTACATTTTAATTAACCACTGTACGCCAATGGCAAGATACTTGATGAGTGACTTCAGCATTCAAAACTGACTGCACTTCCTTTCAGGAGGAATTAAACACAATCATCAAAAAATTTGGTGACAATAGGCTAGTCGTAGGCAGCGATCAAACAAAACTTCAATTTATGATTGCCAAAAAATCCAGGAAATTTCCTTAAACGAACTTTTGTGAGTTTCAATGAAATGGAGCCGTTTTCAATTTTAGTTTGCAAACGAAGGTAGAGCACGCTCAGCTCAATCAGTCTCCTCTTCCCCTTCATTTAAGAAGGGATCGTCGAACAATTACGGCGAATGGTGGGTTCAGATTTTTGCCAGGGCCTGGTAGTCCAGAAAAAGACTTCTTCGCGGCGCCTGAAAGTGAGCCGTATATGACTTTTTATGACAAAAAAGGTGTGTATTGAAAATAAGAGCAAAGATAATATGTAACTGTTGGGAATAGCATTCAAATCGAATAAAAAAATAAAAGCAAAGATCTTATAACTGACGTTCATCAAAACATACTAAACGTCAAAACTGGTGCAAAATTTGTTTTAAAAGCGTCTTTTGATTATAAAACTTTAGGCATCCGTTATGTAATGAAGGATACAAGTGTTTATGGAAGCTATAACTTGGTTTTTGAAAGCTTCTATAGTGATACCATTGATGATCTGAGCATGCGACCAGACGATATGCCAATAATTTGCTTTTTCTTAGACAAGATTGACTACAGATGGCTCAAGACTCTGAAAAAATCTCCGGAAAGTAGACAATTCTTGTACATTAAACTGAGTTTTGGTCTGCTTAAAACTGGATCAATTGGTAAGAAATCGGATTAGTTATTCAGGACAGACAGCTTTCGCAAAAAGGACTGGCTTCTTTCTAATATTTCATACTGTGATATACTTGGCGAGATATACAGAAGACTGCTTTTTGAACAATTGGCGAGACACGCGGACCAAATAAGCTCATTGATAAAAAGCAATGGGCCTACAGAAAATGTAGCTCCACGGAAACCGTCATGATTAGCACCTTATAGAGTTTTCTTACCAAATTGGTTACAACCAGGCCCTTCATGTCATTGCACATGACTGATGCGCAATTTTGACACCTCAAATCACAAGATTCTTTCACAAGTATCGAAGATTTCGATACGAAGAGATAACAAACAAAAAAAATTTCAATTCTAACTGAACAGCAGAAAATAAAGAGCTAAATTTAGCTAATTGTTATCAATTTTTCGGCCAATAGCCACTGGAATTCTACAGTAATTTCTTCTGAATCCATTCCTATTCTCAGCTTACATTACTTCAATGATAAACTCTATACCACTGATAACTTTGAATTAAAATGTGCGCTGATTACACGATGCTTTATGAGAGTTCTGCCTAGAAAACTGACTAGACTTCCTTTCAGGAGGAATTAAACACAAAAACGGTTTGGTGACAATGGGCTAAACGTAAGCAACAATCCAAGAAAGACTGAACTAATGATTCTTGAAGAATCCGGTCAAAAACATTATTCCAAAATTTCTGTGCCGTTTTCGTTTTTAGCTAAGGAAGCAAAACTATTTGGACCTTAAGAAATATTAAGATCTTTTTTGAAAGTTAAATTTTTTGAATTTTAGCGAAAATCATAAAAACGGCATGCCTCGAAAACTAAAAAGATTCGAGCAGTCATAATTGAAAACAAATACATGGGGTTACACTACACAACACTGCGCTGCCTTTCTCTTTCCTTCTATGCTGGTAAAAGTTAGATCCCTAATTGCAGGCCTTTCAATTGTCCAAGAATTCCTAGACTTAAAAAATGAACTTTTTTGAAGCATTTCAATACACGATATAACTTAAACGTGCAAAAATTCTTTCTTTGGAAATGCAAAAATTTATAAGCTTAAACAAGGTGAGCTACGTGGCACAACTATTGAAATATAGTATAGATAATTAATTTACAATGACATTTTGATCAGTTCTGGGAGAAAAATTTTTTCTGTTTTTGTCTAAAATCATTCGAAACAAAAACAATTTGTTGGCCCAGTTTCTATCGTCTAAATACACTAAAAGTTTTTGTCAAAACTAAGTTGCTTTACGATCGTCTACATTGCTTGTCGTTTCAATTCCTAGATCACAAAATAAAAATATCAGCTGGTTAAAAATCTAAGTAGAGTTTTGATCATCAATTGGTTCCGTACTACTACATGGAACATTATCTGACAAAAAACATCTAGCAACTTAACTCGTTGTTTCATTTGAAACCGATTATCCATCTAAAAAACGATAAGATAGAAAATGAAGACAAAAAAAAGGAAAAGAAATAATAACGATAGAAAGAAAAATAGCTAAAATGATAGAAAACAAAGCAAGAAGAAACCCTTTTGAAGAAGAAACATATAAGATAAACGACCAAAGTTCGCCCAAGATCTGTTACTTTCAAGTGGTGGCGAGTAAAGACCGTATTCCTCGGAATACGGAAACAAAAAGACAGATCAACCCAGGGAACCTTGGAGAAGGTCCAAAATCCCGAAAGAGAGAAGAACCAAATCCACCCAGGGATTATGTACCACAAAGAGACGACCCGAAAAGTTCTTGCCAGGACACTCAACGATGTTGCAAAAGCGTTGGGCGGGTTCTTAATTACAGAGTCAAATGATCCTGACGATTTGGCTCTGACGTTATTAGCTGAGGCAGGTGATGTGCACCCGAATCTCGGGCCGAGAGTAAAGTGCCCAGTGTGCACCAAAGGTATTTTTGAAAGACCCAAGAAAGTGTTTGGTGCGCAAGAGGGAGATACGTCCACTTGAATTGTACGAACTTGACTAACAGCCGCCAGTGGGATAAAGATTTCGACTGCAACAAATGCAGTTGGTGCGCATTAGTACAGAAAGGCGGGGACCCACGAAAAGAAAGAGAGAGGAAAAGAACATCAGTCTCCAGAAAATGCGAAGAGAAGTACAAGAGATAAAAACAACAGACATTCTAACTTGGAACCTGCAAAAAATGTCTATGCAAGTTAACAAAAGAAGAAAACTTTTGCGTTTTGCATTCTACTGCCTCCGGAAAAGACATAACAAAGTACTAATGAGCGAAATAACGGCAAAAACACCAGGGGTGATCTGGCTCGGAGAGGGACGCAACTCAGCCACGGTAATACATT